ACGATACTACAAAATAAAATAAATTAAAAAGACATTAAATATTGTTAAAAGGGAAAAAGTTTGACTAACATGTAACCGACCAACTTTCAAATAGAGGGTAAATTACATACAACTATTTTTAAATTTTTATTTCCTTATAAAATTTCAATTTATACATTAGAAATACTCTCTGCAATTTGTCGACAATCCCTTTCCCCAAAATATATTAATAAAATATAAAATATTAAATTGATTGACCTTTTAATTTCCTCCACAAATCCAGTCCCCAAAATTAAGGTGGCTCACGTGAATATTTTGCTAACATTTGGACCTGTCTGATATTATAATATTCTTCAACAATTATTTGTATTTTAAAATTGCATATTTGATGCTTTCCCGTGACATAGTGCAGTTGTAAAGTACAACATGAATCCATTATTTTTAGGGTAAATTACAAACACCCATGAGGTATGGTCAAATTACCAAAACCCCCCTCTTGTTTGGATAATTACATCTACCCCCCTCAACTATGATTTTTTCTTAGACGTCCACCTTTATGGTGCCAAATTCAACATAGTCATCTAGATTCCGTGAATGTGCTCTAGTTTGTACTCTTTTTGTGTAAAAAATACAGTTTCCGATGCACCACAAACTGATATATACAAGCTAAAAATCACATATTATGATCATCTTGCTTCATAATGTAGAGTTTGAATGGGATAAAACGGGTACAAAAGTGATAATATTCCATATAATCTCGAAGATTCCACTAAATTTGATGAGTTGAGGGGGTGGTTGTAATTATCCAAACAAGAGGGGTATTTTGTAATTTGACCATACCTCAGGGGGGTGTTTGTAATTTACCCTTATTTATATTTTGTAATTTGTCCTAAGTGTGAATTGAATAATTGCGTGTAAAATAAATTAAAGAAAGACAAGTTATAAAGAAATTGGACAGTTAGTTGGAGATATATGGTCCCAACCAACCATGTTGGTGAAATGATATGTCATTCTACTGATCGAATATCCACAGATTCCCTTTCAAGGGCACATGGCCTTTTAGTTCTTTTTTCTTTTTTTGTTAGTCCTTATCCACATGCCATGTGAGGCACAAATAAATAATTCAAATTACATAAAATCCCTCATGTTTGGATAATTACACTCACACCTCAATCGTGAATTTTCTTATACGTTCATTATGTGGTGTAAATTTAGTGAAATCTTCTAAATCATCCTTTTGTAAGGGGTTGTAAGGGGTGGATGCAGGGGCGAGTCCACCCAAGGGCTAGGGTGGACTCAAGCCCCCCCTCACTTCAAATTTTTTTTCTATTATATATATATATATATATATATATATATATATATATATATATATATATATATATATATATATATATATATAAAACTTTTTTTTTTTATTATAGACATATATATATATATATATATATATATATATATATATACATATATATATATATATATATATATATACATACATATATATATCCCTCTAGATATCTTTTATTTCTAACTTCGCTCTCGTTCTTTGAAAAAAAAAAAAAAAAAAAAACACTTTGTTCTATTGCATAATCGTACTAATGGCGGTTAAATTGCTATCTCGCAGCAATCAATTAATGTTTGACGTCTTTTCTTTCATCTTAATTTTCATAATAAATATTAATTAAAAGTCCATTGTGTAAATTTCATAATCGACTTGATATTCATGTTTCTTAGATTTTTATAGCTATTTAACTTTCGCGATTCACTTTGGTATTATCTTCTAGAAATGGAAGGAAAAAAAAATTCATATCAAATTTCCATCTTAAATTTATTTGATAGCAAAAAATTTTCGGGGGCTCTGCCCCCGAACCCCCGATACGTTTAAGCCCCGCCTCACAAATGATTCTGGCCTCGCCACTGGGTGGATGTAAGAAATTTACAAAATGCAGGGGCTGGATGTAATTTCTTTTTTTTTTTTTTTTTCTTTAACTACATTTTATTCTGAGGGAGGTGGTTGTAATTTAAAATAAAAACTTTGAAGTTTGCTTATGAGTAGGGTTCAAAAACCTTTATTATTTTTTTCCTTTTCCTTTTAAAATAGCTATTTAGTATTCTTAGAGCAACTCCAATGTTAAACATCAAAATTGGATTATCAAATACTCATTTGATAATTAAGATAATATTTTAATATTCATTTACAATTTATTTACTCCAACCATGGTTATCTAAATCAATAATCAATTGGAAGTTTTTTAGTGGTTTTATTTGTAATTGTCACGTGGCATTTTTTGATTGGATGTTTAGGTAGTTATTTTTTTGATAACTCAATTTTCGAGATGTATTTTTACATTCAAAGAGGTAGAATATCAAAATACTTATCCATTTTGATACTCCCATTGGAGTGAAATTTTTTAATTTTGGAATATCAAAAAGGTGGTTTGTGGATTTGATAATCCATTTGATATTCCCATTGGAGCAACTCCAATGCTAAATATCAAAATTGGATTATCAAATGCTCATTTGATATTTAAGATAATATTTTAAAATACATTTAAAACTCATCTACTCCAATCATGGTTATCAAATTTTATTATCAATTGGAAGTTTTTTGATAATTTTACATGTAATTGCCACATATCAATTTGTGAATGATTGGTAAAGTGGTTATTTTTTTTATAATTCAATCTTCAGGAAATATTTTTAGATTAAAAGAGAAGAAATATCAAAATACAAACTCATTTTAATAACTTCTTTAGAGAACAAAATTTTTAAAATTTTAGAAGTCAAATGGTAGTTAACAGATTTGATAACTCATTTAATAACTCCATTGTAATTGCTTTAAAGGAAGAAATAACAAGTGAAGGAAAAGTCTTTGTGTGGAAAGGAAAATTAAAATTAAAATGATAAACCTCTAACGTACAATCCACATACAATTTATTTTCTTGATTTGAATTGGATAAATGTAAAAGGTAAAGAAAGGGCAATGTTTTGACATTTTGGCAAATAGCATAAATGCCAAACGCATATTTCAAATAATATTCCGTTTACAAAAAAAAGCACGTGGGCAGATTTCCGTGTTGCAAGTTGCAACAATTACTTAACTAAGAAGAAAAATTAGGCTCATTTTATTGACTTCTAAATATGAACTCAACATCCTTGATATTTACATTCTACAAGCAACTTTCGAAGAAGCTAATTAAATTTCAATAAGTAATCTAACTATTAGTTTGATAATTACATAACTTTAAGCTAATTGTCTCCTAATTCAGAGGAGGGTGTTCTTGTGAAGGCATAGAGTTACTTCTAAATAGAACTTGAGACTTCAGTTTTATGGATTATTTCTACGCTACACCCGTTGAAAGTTACACCGAATGTATTTTTGTCGTTAATTTACACAACAATGTGGTTATGTGGGTGTGTACATGTTTTTGTGCTTATTTTTCGGTGTAGAATAGTATAAACTATTCTCTGGAATTAGGAGACACGTGACAAAGGAGCTATTTATGTTAATTTTCCAACTCTCAGAAAGTGAAAGTAATAGTAATATAGTGTTTGATTGATTATTCAAGATCTTTGGCATTGTTTGGAATTATTTTGGGAGTTGTTTTCGTTTTATTTTGAGGAAATATGTTTTGAGGAAATAATTTGAGAATAAAAATAATGTGTGTTTATAATTTGGGAAGAGAGAAAATATACAGTAGCATTTGACTGCTATCATGTGTGAAGTAGATAGAAATTTTTGAAATTGTTGTGAGAATTGTTTTTGAAAATATAAACATACACGAATTCGTTTCCATCATATATGGAGGAGAGAGAAGATTTTGAAATTGATGTGAGAACGTTTTTGAAAAGCTAAACAAACACGAATAATTCTTCCATCATATTTAGAGGAGATAGAAAATTTTGAAATTGCTGTGAGAATTTTTTTTTGAAAAGCTAAACTAAAATGAAAAATTCTTATATCATACATGGAGGATAGAGAAATTTTTGAAATTGTTGTGAGATTTTATTTTTAGAAAAGCTAAACAAACAAGAAAAATTCTTCCACCATATCTGGAGGATAGATAAATTCTTGAAATTGTTGTGAGATTTTTTTTTTAAAGATAAACAAATAGGAATAATTGTTCCTATTGGTGCAAATAGGAATAATTCTTCCATCATGTCTGAAGGAGAGAGAAAATTTTAAATTGTTATGAGATTTTTTAATAAAAAGCTAAACAAACACGAATTATTTTCTAGAAAATAATAGATAGAATTGAGATGAAAATGCAACCAACCATAAGTTAACCTTTTTTTTTTTTTTTTTTTTTTTTAATTTAGGGTAAATTACAAACACCCCCCTGAGGTATGGTCAAATTACAAAAACCCCCCTCCTGTTTGGATAATTACATCTACCCCCCTCAACTATGATTTTTTCTTACACCTCCACCCTTACGGTGCCAAATTGAACATAATCATCTAGATTCCGTGAAATGTGCTCTAGTTTGTACTCGTTTTGTGTAAAAATACAGTTTCCGATGCACCACAAACTGATATATACAAGCTAAAAATCACATATTATGATCATCTTGCTTCATAATGTAGAGTTTGAATGGGATAAAACGGGTACAAAAGTGATAAATTCCATATAATCTCGAAGATTCCACTAAATTTGAGGAGTTGAGAGGTGGTTGTAATTACCCAAACAAGAGGGGCGTTTTTGTAATTTGATCATACCTCAGGGGTGTTTGTAATTTACCCTTTAATTTATAATTGATAATTGAAGACTTGAAGTCTGCTTATCAAGTGAGTTGAATTCAGCCAGATAACATGTCCCAAGTTCAGAAGTCAGAAAATAGGTGTGAGTTGGCGAAGCACCTATTTTCTTTCACACCTTTTTTTTCATCAAAAAGGCATATACCAAGAATATGCCCTCTCCATCAATATTCCAATAATGGTTTTATTATTTGGGAGAAGAATCCAGATTCCAAATTTCAAAAACCCGCAATGAATATAACAATTAACAAATTAAAAATAAAATATGAAAAATTAGAATAATCATCCCTTCTTCATTTCCTCAAACCTCAGATTACAAAAAAACTAACACAAAAGTAATGGGGAAAGAGAGGATTATCCATCTATCAAACACCTAATTTACATAGATATATAATAGCACTCTGTTTTTATTCTAACTAATTCTCAGGCGAAATCCGCCATTGATGACGTCACTCCTCCATTTATTATCCATGGGTGCCCTGTAATTACAATTAATAATTGTTAATCAGCAAAAACAAAAAAACAAATTGCAATAATTTTCAAATAATTTTTGATGGCACAATTTCAATTTCAGAGTAGAACTTACTCAGAACTTGTTCAGCGGATAGTCTCCTGGAAACATCTCTACAAATCATCTTCCTCAACAGATCCTTGGCCTCCGGCGACACCGATCGGAAAATCTTCGTCGGAAACCTCAAATTACCCCGCAGCACCGCCTCGAAAGTCTCCGCCGGACCGTCTCCGAAGAACGGCGGCACACCGGCGAGCATTATGTACAGAATTACCCCAGCGCTCCACACATCGACCTTCTCGCCGTAGCTCCTCCCCGTCAGCACCTCCGGCGCCACGTAGTACGGCGTCCCCACCACGCCGCTCATCTCGGAAATGCCGCCGAACAATTCGGCGGATCCAAAGTCGGCGAGCTTCAGCTTTCCACGAGAGTCGAAAAGAATGTTGTCCGGCTTGATGTCTCTGTGCGCCACCCCCAATCGGTGGCAATAGGCGATTGCCGACGTCAATTGCTTCAGAACGGCGGCGGCGTCGGGCTCGGAGAAGCGGCCGACGGAGGAGATGCGGTCGAATAGATCGCCGCCGTCGCAGAGATCGGTGACGAGGTGGATGTAGGTGGCGTCCTCGTAGACGTTGTGGAGGCGGAGGATGTTAGGGCAGCCGGAGAGGAGGTGGAGGATTTTGGGCTCCGTGTCGAGGCAGCGGCGGTCGATTGGGTCGGAGGAGAGAGAGTCCTTGTAGATGGATTTACAGGCGAATGATTCGCCGGCGGCGGCGGAGTAGCAGCGGTAGACGACGCCGAATCGGCCGCGGCCGAGCTCTTCGCACAACTGATAGTCTCGATTTAGGCTATCGCACATGATATGTTTTTTTGACTTTGTTGATGTGCGAGAGATTTCCGAAGGTTGGGGTTTATTTATAGAGAGAGAGAGACGGGTAAGGGCATCTCCAAGGTCGAGAGGTAAATACAGGGAAATCCTATGCTACACCCGGTGAATATAACCAGGCACCATAATTAATAAGATTCCCACTACGGGTTCAATTATGGCCCAATGGGTTTTAGAAATATAATTATAAAATAAATAAAACAAACACATGTCAAGAAAAGAGCCACCCGGTGAAAATCACCGTGTGTAACATCGTATTCCCCCTAAATATGTGTAATTAATTTATTGTATTATATAGATTTTCCTTCTTCTCTCCATTCTCCCACGCTCTCAGCTGTGGGTTTTCTTTTTTCTCCCTCCAATTTTTCTTTCCTTCTTTTTTTGGCCTGTTGCTATCATAAATCAAAGTCTTGAACATTTTGTCTCAAACAAATACAGTTCATATATTCAATGGCTCACTTCTTTAACAATTTTTTATATAATCCCCAAAATTTTGACGATGATGATTAGGGCTGGGCAAAAATTACCAAATACCGATTACCACGGTATTCCTACCATAAATTACCGAATAAATACCGAACTATCTGTTACCACTACATTTGGTACGGTATCGGTACCGTACCATTGCCTTACGGTACGGTAGCGGTATTGTATCTTCAATACCATGGTAATACCGTACCGTACCGCAACTTTGTATTTTTAAAATTAGTTAATATATTCAACAAATATTCAACTTTATACTTTATATTCAACTTTAGATAAAAAAAAATATAGTCAACAAATATTATAAAGAAAATAAAAAACAAGAATAACAATATGATACATCATATATATATTATATATACATAATTATAATTTTTTTATTATCTTCATATATTTATGCAAACTCAATATTAGCTCTCGTTAAAGTTGTTTATGTCACGTACTTCTTTAGTTTCAAAGTCCAATTAATCACTTATTGGTGGAATATTTTTTGTCATATTTTATTCTCCCTTTCTTTCCCCCTAAGTTCCCAATCTTCTGTTTCATTTGCATTATTGCAAATTTTTTTTTTCTTACTTAAACCATCAAACTTTTTTGCTCATTACAAGTTTCTACAATTTTTCTATAGATATCTTAGTAAGCATTAGTTAATTAAAGCAACATATGCTACTACGGTTATATAATGTATATTCATGTAGATTGCTTGATCGATCACCATATTCATTTGCTTAATTTGTTGTATTTATGCATTTATTTAGTATTCATCTTAATTATGGTATCATCCGAGTTCATCAAAAAATGATGTACGGTAGATTACCACGTACCGATCATACCGTACCGAAACTTACGGTATACCGAATAACGGTATACCGCAATTATTGGTACGGTAACGGTATAGAATTTTTCAATACCGAAAGATACGGTAGGTACACGGTATTGAACAAAATGTTCGGTAACCGTACCGAAACCACCCCTAATGATGATGATATAAATTTGGCTGCCATAGCTGCCATTTTGCCCTATTTTATTTTTCTCTGACTTTTCAATTGAAGAAAGAACAGAGCAAATAAAATACATCTATCAGAAGAACAACAAAAAAGATGGAGTTTGCTGGAATACCAAGAAAAAGGACGACGGCGTGAAAGCATGGGAGAAATAAACCTTAATGTTTTTTGATTTTTTTTTTCTATCTGATTGTTTCTTTTGGCTTGAAGATTTTTTTTTATTGTGTTTTTAATCCATAAATTATTTCATTTTTTTATAGAAAAATTCATCAACCACCCAATTTAATTTTACAGTTGGGAGATTTGTAATTACTTTTTCAACTATTCATGATTATTTTAATATTTTTTGCATTTAGCTTCTATGAACAGTACGTGGTATATATAGCTGTTGAGGATTCAATTTTAGTTGATGAGGTAAAATTTACCTCTCCCGTTGGAGACGATTATTTGTAGAGAAATGGTATATTTTCACTTTTTTAGCATATAGCAGACTCTTTTTTTTTATGGTTGGAGATGCTCTAAGCAGGGGGTATTTAGCTCTCAAGGGGGAATATTCTTTGGGAGAGAAATTGCAACTATAATTTATGGCAAATTAAGACTAACATCCTGAGGTAAGATAAAATTACGAAATATTTGGATAATCACAATCATCTTCCTCGACTGTGTATCGTCTTACATGCCTATGTTTATAGTGTCAAATTTATCGATTGAAAGAAATGTTTTTTCATGAGACAATATACAGTTGATGGGATGGTTGTAATTACCAAAAATGAGAGATTTTTTTTGTAATTTGACATTATCTTGAAACTTTAATTTTGCCCTATAATTTTTGTAGGACCAACCTTAGCACCTCTTGGTAATTTGTAATTGTTAGAGAAGTCTCTGTATCAATTTTTTTTTTATTAAACTATAAAGTTAGTCAAAACCAATAAGATCCCTATAATCTAATATTGCGATAGACTCGCCGAGGTGTGTTTTAAACTTGAAAAGACCTAAATACTTTAAAATAAAAAAAATAAAAAAATAAAATAAAAAAACAAACAGTTCAATCCCTTCAATTTTCAGAAAGCCCGTTCTTTCCCTTATTATATCAGGCCATAAATTGCAATTTCCACAAAAACCCATCAACTATTTTTCACGAAATTCGCCGCACACATACATCTCCCCTACAAAGTCCACCTCCAGCTATTTTGTACTTCTCATTAGTAAATCTCGTCACCAGTCGTCGCGAACGATAGAGAGGGACGCCATGTTCTGATTCATATCGGCAATATGTCGACTGAAAAGTCCAAAGAATCTTCCCTTCGATGATTTTTCCAGATCATGTTACGTTAATTTCCGGCAACAATACGCTTCTTCCATTCCCCATTTTCCATTTTTGATTTTGCTCTGTTTCTTCTACGAAAAGTTGATATCTCTTTAGGCAATCATTGGAGATTAAGTTTTCGAGGATTCGGTATCAGAGTAATTGATGCTATCCATGTATACAAGGCTTTGCACAATGCGTTTTGTGTGTGTACTATGGGAATTTCTCCGGTGAAGTTCTATCCCCACAGATGATGTTGAGCCGTTGGATCAAGATCTGCATGGTTGAAGAAAGAAGTTGCATATGAATATGATTCATTGAGTTTCAAGTTTCCTTATTTCCTTGAAATCATGAGTTATATAGAAGGATTGTCTATAATCCTTATTTAACGTGAGATTGATTGAGAGAGGGGTAGAGAGATAATTCTCTAGAAAAAATAGATAGATTAAATTCCTAAAATCAAACACAATGTATTTCTAGTGTAAAGCTCTTGATGTCAAGTATTGATTATATACTTATATAAATCAATTATTTTATGCCGTAACAGTTTACTTGTTAATGCAGAAATATGTTGCAACCATAATTCTTGTGTTGACATAGTTATTTACTACTAAAAGCAGAGTAAAGAATACAAGAAATTAATTTGGTTCGGACACAAAAGTGACATACATTCACGAGAATCTGCAAACACGATTTTACTAGTTCAGATTTACGGTGTATATTTTAAGACCTAATAAACTATTAAAGACTCTCTCTTACTCAAACTTCGTGTTTCTTCACCGCAGCTCCTCTTCCCAGTCCTAGAACTTCCTCCCATAATTTATATGCTTATGTTCGTTCCATTATCAATGAAATTGCGAATAATAGGGAAATAAAATATTAAAATTGTTCCTAAATTGAAAAAAATAAAAAAAATCAAACCTAAGTGGGGAGAAATATTAAATTATTATATGACTTCTCCACTAATACATATAATTCTAATTTTGAAATAAAGATATATACATACTCAATCGACATAATTCACTCAAATTTAATAACAGACATAACAATAAAAACATATATAAAAAGGCAAACAAAAACAAAAAGTGTAAACCATATAAAATAGATTAAAATACACATTAGCCTCACTTATAGTAATTGCGTTGAAGAAAACGAGAGAGAAATTTAAGGGTGGTTCTTTACTGCAAAGGGGGAAAAAAAGAGAGGTGGTGGTGGTTGTGCTGGTGGCCGGTGGTGGTGGTGATTGTTACTTAGTTTGGGAAAATGTAGAAAGACAGATATAAAAAAATACGAAGCAGTGTTTGGAAGCGTTTTGGAACTTATTTTGATTTTATTTTGAGGAAATATGTTTTCGAGGAAAATTTTGAGAATGAAAGAAATGTTTGTTTATATTTTAGAAGGAGACAAAATAAACTGTAGGAGTCAAATCACGTTTAAAAGTGTTATAAAAAATTATTTTAGAAGAAAAAATTGAAAGATGAAGTGATGTTTATTTGTTTTTTAGTGAAATCATTTTTTTACTATGTTCCAAACATGGCAGTGCTAACGAATTGGCCATACTATTAAGTAGTCAAATCGAAACAACTACTAAAAAATCAAAAATCAATTAAAAGTATCGAAATGAACTTAAAAAAATAATAGGATAACGAAAACAACTATAAAAAATAGCAGAATAACAAAAACAACTATACTGTTATAAAAGATACTCGACATCAAAAGCATCACAAAAAAAATTAAAAAAAAAATCAAAACGATGGCGACGACGGGGCAGAGGCTGCGGCGGCAAGGTCACTAGATCCGGCGGTGGACATTAAGGGGAGGTAGGAAGCGATTTTTGAGTTTTTGATGCCGTCTTCTACAACTAGATCGAGAATTGCAGTGATGGCGGCGGCGGCGACGGGGCTAGATCTTTATATCTGGCGGCTTCGACTTTATTGTTGAAGGAGCAAAGATGCGCTATGAGCGCATCCTTGAGACTGTTCCCAAAATCGTCGGCTCATGTTATGATTTTTAGGGGTGGGTGATGGAGGCTACGATGGAGTGGTTCTTGTTGCACCATAGATTTAGTCAAGACATAGTGAAAAGGGACGAAACGGATTATGGGGAGAATGACTTAATGAGAGAAGAGAAGGTGATGAGA